AGTTTTTTTTTGCGGTAAAAAAAACTGTAAATTTTCTTTTGTGACATCCTGTACATAATCGTTTTGTTGATTTTTTTTTTTAGTCTTCTCGGTCGTTTTTACCGCACTTCGACAGACGCTGACAGTCGCTTGTACCGGAGTGTGGCTCGTGCACGATGGAACGCTAGAACACGCTTTCATGGTGGCGTCTTGCAAGCGCTGCAGACGTTTTTAGACAGGAGCGGAATGCGGAGAGCAAGTTCGTCTGCTTCGTTTGCAGGGGTTGTAGTGACGTCAGAAAAACGCCGAGCTGGGATTGGCTCTGATTGAAGGATAGTCAATAGACCTCGAAGCAAGCTGCATTAAGGTCTACCCACAATCCTCCAATCAGAGCCAATCAGAGCCCAGTGTTCTGACGTCACCACAACCCCTGAAAAAGAAACTTGCGCTCTCGATAGCAGAAGGACGAAGGCGAATATGGAGGCCGACACGCAGCTTCCATATCCGCGTCTGGGCATGGCAGACGACGAGAGACGATGTTGTGGAATAGCAGTTGATGCCGGAGGTTGCCGCACGTCTGCTCTCACGACCCGCAGGCGGCGGCAGACTTCCGGACTATTCCATACTAGATGCACCGGATGCCGGTAAAATGGAAACACTAAAGGCTTCCGAGCATATTCGGCCGAGCAGCCAAGCCAATCCAGTGGTTATGGGAGGGGCCACGGATCTGAGACCGGGGCTTAAAAAGGACCGCGACCTACACCTAAATTGCACCAAGCGTAGATATTGCACGAAAAAATATGTTGCATTAAAACTTGGGTTTGGGCTAGTTGGTTCATTACTGAATAAAAGGTTGATAAGCGCGAACACACGAGGACTTACTCTCAACTGAGTTCAGAGTGAAGCGCCTGTCCTGTCGTCCGTGTTTCTTTATTGTCTTCGTTTGTTCGCGCTTTTTAACCTTCTACTCAACAAAAAATAATGTTGGTGCAAAAAAAGAAAGCCTTTTTTAATGAGATTTTTTTTTCTTCACTCCAGTGTTCCGTTAAGCCCGACCGCTTTCCTCACTACGAAGCGACGGAGCAAATCAAGCGGCGCCAAAATGTGCATCGTCACGTCGCCCGCCGTCTTTGCGCATTTTCTGTCGCAGTTTAAGCCATTCACGCGGAGAAAAAGAGCTTGAAATCGAGGCGCATTCAAGGTGCGTGGTTGGTTTAGTCAGTGATATAATCTATAGGTATACAACGCGCGAAGAAGACAAGCGTAATGACCATGTACCTTTGACGCTGATTGGTCAACTCCGTGGGATCGCAGCTCTGGCTGCGGTCGGATCTCATGTAGAACAAGATATACAGGTACACACGCACAAAAAATACTCGATTGTATTTGCGATGTATACGTAACGTGTGACCAGGCATGAAAGCAGTAATCTTGAAGACGCCGCATCACGAAATGTATGCCTATTTCAATGAAGCGTCGCGTGAATAAGTTTGGTCTTCCAGGAAACAAACTCTCATGATTATTTATGTGTGTGTAAGAGAGTTAGATAAAATAATGCTGGTAGGGGAAAGCAAGATTATGTCTTTTAGAGTGCAGTTCTAAGGGCCCCGTTTCCGGCTTGAGCGACATCGGCGTCCCCTCGCGCGTTGCATTATGGGAGGTTTCCCCGCTAAAGATAGCCGGAAAATGTTCCTGCTAAATTTAGTGGGGAAGTGTTTCCGCTAAATTTAGCGGGAAATTTTCTTCTTAAAGTTAGCGGGAAAATTTTCCCGCTATAATTTCCGGGGAAATCGACGTCACGTGACCTCTACACCAGTTCAGTTCCCTCGCTAAATTTAGCGGGAAAAGTGACGTCACGACTTTGTGTCACGTGAGTCATGAACAAATTCAGCGGCGGGAGGAGAGGACGAGGAGGAAGGAAGAGGAGGGGGATGAAGAGGAGGAGGAGGAGGGTCATATCCTCCTCTCCGTACAATCCCCTTCTCCTCCTCAAAAACTGCGTTCTAGTTTCGCATTACAGAGATCTGTAAACGCCTTTCAATTTTCTTTTTTTTTTCGACCTCTAATGGTAATTTCATTAATTTCTAATGCGATAATAACTTTTTATTCTACTTATTATCCGCAAAAAAGTTTCTTTCTTTTCCGATTAGTTACATCAGTAGAGTGCCTTCAAATTGTAACGCAGCCTCCAAATGAGATATTGCGCATTATTGATTAAGATGATAGTTACTCTTATTGTGTTTCATAAATGGGAAACTTTGTCACTTGGACTTTACGCGTCACATAGGCAACACTTGGCTATCCGGTCGTGTGATAAATTTGAGGAACCATCTAAGAACGTAAAGATACGCTACCCTTAAGAGCATTCTGATTTCCGGATCCGAAAGAAAATAGCAAGAATTCTGACGCCAGGCTCAAAAGACGTCGAAATTAATAGTGGTGAGTGCGATCGGGCAGAAACTCACATCTAATAACTTCATAAATTTTCCGCTTGCCGAAAGACTGACAGAACTTTTAGAGGAAACGCCGTCTGCTCACGTCACATCCCGCCCAAGTCACACGAGTTATCCCCTAGTTATTCCGGAGCGCACTCGAGCTCAGAAGTTGTCAAGTTTGCGCCGTCTCGCCGTCTCGTTGCGTCAAGAGAGGTGCTCATCTGAACTGAACAATTATCCAACCATTCACAATAAGAGGTATCTAACTACAGGGTGATCCCCCAAAATAGTATGTATCGCCGAACATTTAGTTTTCACTCAAATGCAGCGGTAGCGTCCATACACCATGCGTAAGTTGCAGAAGGAACTGTTATCTTATACGGGGTTAGAACCGCATTTCGAAAAGTTTCATTTTGAAAATGGTGGCGACGAAGTCCCCGAATACATGAGGCTGAATGGCGCAAACCACCGGGCACGGGCTCTATTTTCAAATTTGAAGCTGCATAAGATCACTTAAAACAGTGGTCGGCAACCAGCGGCCCGCGAGGCAGTATTATGCGGCCCCTGCCCCCCAGTGCCCCACACCCCCCACCCCCCCCCCCCCCACACACACACACAATGCGGTCAGCTAAAAAAGAAGAAAATAAAGATAAAGTTGTGCAATTCGCTGCCCGTTGCCTGCCTTCACGAATGACTGACGAGAACCTCCACAATGTTTTGCGACTCGCAGTTAGTAGCTTGAATGTGGATGTCCGTAGTTCAACACCAGAAGTCTCACTAGGTTATTGTAGAAATCTTGAATCTCATGTCGTGTGTCGCGAAATAAAGAAACTGTTCCTTTTCGGTTTATGTACGTCAATGTGAGTCCGTGCAAGTGTTTTTTTTTTTTTTTTTAATTTTAACCCCCCGCTTTCCCCCCTCCCCCGCTGCTTGCCGTCCGGCCCGTTCTACCTTAGCTTCACGGCGACTCGGCCCGCAGCGCCGAAAGGTTGCCGACCACTGACTTAGAACATAAAATAACGTGAGCTTTAAAACTTTCGAGCCTCGCCTGGACCGCTAGCTTTTTCACTTGGGTGGAGACTTAAGCGTTCGGCGATGTGCGGTTTATTCTTACGGTGACAAAAACACATATTTTCTTGGGGACACGCTATACTGAAATCAAGAAATATGTGCCGAATGAAATTGGTGCAGTATTAAATGTCAACGCAGCGCTTGCAAAACGTATACGGAGCACGCGAACTGTGGGTTTTCTCGTGATATCCTGTTGGCAGCCGAGCAACGGTTTTCTGCCACCTGAGAAACCATCCCAAAATGCTTCGTCAAAGAGCCGTTGTTCGAATTCCTCCGGAATGGCCCTGCCGTGAGGAAACACACAGATCGCATGTTCCGATGAAGTTTGGTGAGCCCTGGGAACGCGCTGTCTTCCGAGTGCGTTTATTTACTGCATTCTTGCGTACGCGAGATAATATCGGTCATTGTTTTGGCCCTGAGAACCTATTTCCTATCGGGAAACGGTCAAGTCTTGAATGGAAAGCTTCGGACAGCAGAATTTCAATCATCGCATTGCAAAGGGCTGTGTTGGCAAACGTGTCGCTGCCATTCCGGTGCCATAAATAGACTTCCCGTTTGAAGGAGATTCAAAATAGCCTAGACTGATGAACGAAACGTGCAGCCAGGGAGAATACCTCCAACTTGCGAAACGGAGAGGGGTTGTAGCGGGAACATTTGTCTTGATACATTTAATAAGCTATGCGTTCCGGAGTAACGAAAACAGAGCCATATTGGCCATCTTGGAGACTAAAGGGGCCGTGCAAAGATATGGGATAAGAATGTATCTCAATTTACACAACCTTAGTGGCAGTAGTGAACCTATGTGTTCACGCACGCAACGTCACTGACCATAAAAGCTACTTTGTCGCTCCGCAATTTCAAGGACAAAAGCGTACGTTTCCTTTCAGTCTCTCTTTTGCATAACTTGATGAGAAAATTGTGGGTATCGGATTGTTGGCGTTGTCGACAATGCGTGATTTCCAAACTTTCGTGATCAAGCTTTCCTCTCGCCGTGATGACGATATATTAAAATGCGGCTCGCACAGTGGAGCCGTGCACTGCGGGAGCACGCAATTTGGGATCGTGAAAATCAACGGCTCGACTACGCAAAGCCTCTCCGCGTTGAGGTCATTCGTGGAGTGACATTTATTCTCGTATACCTCGTTCCAGGTTAAGAGAAGTAGAGCAAAACTAATCCCGCAAAGCTCTTCACTGTTTTCACTTTAGCACAACGAACGCTGTAAACCAGTCCCTCATCGCCTCCTCTCGCTCCACTCTGGCGTTCGCTCTACTAAAGTGAAAAGAGTGGACGGCTTTACGGGAGAAGCTTGTCCCGCTTTTCGTAACCTTCAGCAGGGTAAGAATATTTCGTGTAAAATTGGCGGCACCGCAGTGGCACTTGAGTGTCTAGAAACAACCCCCTCGCTGCGTTGATTCCACCACTTTTGTTTCCTGCTTCCACAGATAGTTCCCCGGAAACTATGTTTTGGGGCCAAGGGGATCTACAAGTTCTACAACAACTCCTGGATCGCTTACCTCTAGCGGTGGCGATCTCCCCGTCCGGGTGCCACCGCTTATGGAGGGCTGACGGCGAGATACAAACCGGCATGGAGACTTTCTGGTCCCCCAGCAGGGTTACCTTTATTTGGCGCTCGGAGACGTCCCCAAGTACCCTCGGCAATAGACGCAGCCTGCGTGTGAAGAAAAATGTACTAACTGGGGTTTATTTTTATTTGATTTATTTATTGTCTGCAGCGCCGGAGCATTACAGCAGAGGAGTGGGTTACATGATTCACATATATCATTGTAAATTGGAAGGTCACATAACAGCACACATCAGTAATTTCCAACAACATCAATAAACATGATTCACACCAGCACAGAATAGCAATATTACGAAAAAAACCAATGATGTACTTAACACAGAAACTTACATTGCATTAATAAGGCTAATAAAAGAGTCACTGTTAGCTGATACAATATCAGACGGCAGTTCATTCCATTCCGATATAGTTCTCGGGAAAAAAGAAAACATCATATAGTTAGTTCGACATTTTATTTCGCGTATTTTTTTTATGTGGTCCCTCCTACTCGATATATAGTGGGGCATTTCTAGATAATTAACTTGTCTATTCCAGTTAAATCATTGTTGATAGCGTAAATAAGTTTAGGTCTATTTTTCCTACGTCTTTTTTCTAAAGGCTCGATACCCATACAAACTTTCATTTGTGTCACACTCTCTGCTCGAGAATACTTATTCAGAATAAACCTCACAGCGCGATTTTGTATGCCTTCTATCTTATCTATGAGATATTTTTTGTGCGGGTCCCATACGGCACTCGCATATTCTAGATGTGCTCTAACTAGTGAGCGATACGCTGTCTCTTTCAAGATTTGTGGAGCAGAGCGAAGATTGCGGATGGCTAAGCTAAGAACCCCGCCAGCCTTTTTCATGATCATATCTATGTGCTGATTGAACGAAAGGTTTTCTGAAAGAATGACACCAAGATATTTAATTTCAGACACTTTCCGCAACGAGTCTCGACCAATAGCATAAGCCGAATCAATATTATGTTTCTTTTTACTGAAAGCGCCATGAAAACATTTGCTTGTGTTTAACCCCAGTTCCCAGGTCCCGCACCATAAACTAACCCGGTTCAAATCCTCTTGCAAAGAAGAGACATCGTTAACGTTCCTTATTTTTCTGTAAATTACACAATCGTCCGCAAATAATCTGATATTAGAATAGATGGAAGACACTATATCATTAATGTAGATTAAAAATAAAAGTGGTCCCAGCACTGACCCTTGAGGTACCCCCGAAGTTACATCTACGTATTCTGATCTTTTACCCCCCAGGACGACGCACTGTTTCGTCCCACTCAGGTAGTCTTTTATCCACCGGAGCACATTACGGTCGATATTTAAAGCACTCATTTTATGTAATAACAATTGATGCGAAACAGGATCGAACGCTTTGCGGAAATCCACAAAAATGGCATCCGTTTGCAGTCTGTTTTCAGCCGCACTAACTAAATCATGATAGAGCTCAATTAATTGGGTACTGCAGGAGACACCTCTACGAAAACCGCGTTGGTTAGGGCAAAAAAAGTTATTATCTTCTAGGTGCTTAATTATACTACTATAGACAATATGTTCTAATATCTTACATGATATACAGTTCAAGGAAATTGGCCTGTAATTGTCAACAATTGATTTTGGACCATTTTTATGAATTGGTACAACATACGTTTGTTTCCATTTTTTAGGGAGCAATCCGCTTTTAAGAGATTTACAAAAAATTACATAAAAGTATTGTGAAACTATACACGAGCAGGCTCTTAATACCTTGGGGGACATCTCGTCTGGACCGACGGCCTTGTCTTCTTTTAAAGAGTTTAAGCAATTTCTTATTCCCTCTAGCGTGATTATGACGGGAGGCATAGCATTTTCCACTCTATCTGTAAGAATCGGCAAATGTTCGTAGTCACCGTTTTTGAGAAATATTGACTGAAAATAATCATTGAAACAATTAGCTTTAGTTGTATTATCTGTTATGACTCTACCAGTATTTGTAATGCTCGGAATGCCTGTTCTTTCTTTTCGTGTTTTCCTAAGGTAACTCCAAAAGGCTTTCGAATTTATGCTGATAGCCTTTGCCAGTCCAGAGAAATAATCCTCCTTGGCCCTACTTATGGTGCTCCTATAAACTATATCCAGCTCTTTTAGACGGTACTCAAGATTGGCAGTAGGATTTTTTTTATACTTGGAATACATACGTGAGCGTTTTCTAACTACTTTTTTTACTTTATAATTCATCCAAGGTTTGTCGGGTTTTGGTTTGTCCTTTACATATTTACAAGGAATTTACAAGGGTTTTTGCGCCTTCTGGGTAAACTCTATTGCAACATATGTATTTCTTTATTAATGATAAATAAGTTTTTATGCAAACTGGGATAATGCTACGATAAACGAAGCACAACGAAAACCATTATGCATCATCGCTTGAACAGTGGATCTTTAGAAACTTTTTATTTGTTAAATGCGTAAACGAATGCTGCAGAGGCTGCAAATGTCTGCTCTTTTTCTAGCGAATATTTTATTATTTGAACGTGGTTTTACTTTTAACATACCTTTCGGGCTCGTAGTATGCTCAAAATAAATTAAATGAACAATTTGAATATGAATATCGAATTCGTTTTACAAATTTAAATACCGCAAATATGCAACTGTGCACACATTCACATTTACAGTCTACCATACTGCCGCCTTACCAAGCGTAAGCTTTCTCTCAGGGTTAACAGGATAATGATTACGATAGTTTATGAGCAGGTTGGGGTTTAGTGATGACGATGGCTCGAACGTAGGTGTTGTATCGGGCTAAAATACGCTTTTTTTATAGACAAAATTTATAAAAAGAATTACTGCATGACACCTCTCAATATTGTTCTACATGCGGAAATGAAAATAATTTGTCCGAACAAAAAATAAACCTATAAACACGTCGATAGCAAAATAACGCACCGATCGAGAAGAAAAAAAAAACTGAAGTAATGTAAAAGACGATGTTTCGAGTGAACGCCGATTTGTCCGTCCATAACGTGCTATTTCCCGTGTCCCTGTAATTTTTTTTCGGCTCGGTATTCTGTCCGCGCAACTAAAACATTCCAAGCTCTTGGGCCACTGTTCCATTTTTTTTTTTCAGTTTTCCATGAGCGGCCTTAGGCAGAGAACCCGGAAACCCTGAGCCCATCCCTGCCTCCGTTTGTTTTGATTTGTATGATTGATGCATCTACTTCCTGTGGCCTTCCCCTACTGCCTGTTTTGCGCTGAAGTCTACAGATAAGCACGTGCGGCGCGCAGGCTACATTTTTTGTACAGAACGTGAACCAATGTCACCATATTCGAAAGGCAGACCGGCATTGGGCTGTCTAAACGTTCAAGTTTGACTTCATGATGTTGTGCATTATGAATACCAGAGCACTACAGACTGAACCTCTGCGTGTTGACAAACACCTTCAACTGCAGCCAGTCGGTAATGCCCTGTCCCAAAAAAGCGACATTCTTAGAGTTTTTTCCTCCTCCACTGTCAGATCCTTGAAACACAAGAAGGGGTGTGTCGTTTGATTTTTTTGTATTTCAGTCATATAACTGCGAGAAATGGGAGTATTTTATGGGAAATACGCTATCATGTGCGTCTTCTGCATTGTACAGGGTGCGGCCGTAAAAACTTTCACATTTGGCACGCCTAGCCAAAAACGAATTTCAAACGTACATACCTGAAATTGGGCACACAAACGTCTTTTATTCCAAAGGTTTTCGCCTTTTTTTTTCAGACGTCAACTCGGGAGTAGCCAATTATTAGAAAGACAACAAAAATGGCAGATGCGCATTTCCTATGGCCTATACCCGCCCGTTCACCGTCTGCAATGTGGTTCGCGACGCCGCTCCCAGGTGGCGCACTGAACGAAAAAAGGCAGGAAACGCCGCACGAAAGCCTGGCGTTGGGCAAGATAATCGGGATGAAAAGTGATTTTAACAAAATATATCAACGATTGTTGAAATTACCTGTTTCAAGTCCAATTTTGGGAAATCGTCATGCAACCAAGACGACACCACGATGCGACGAGATCACTTATTAACAGCCCGGAATTGCAAGTGGTGCTGCTACCGTTGCAGGCAAGTTCGTTTTGAGATATCATACCATTCTGATTTTTACAGGGCCACTGTAAGTCATAAAGCAATATTTTTTTCATAGACTTTGGTTTTAATTAACACACATGTTGCAAGACATATTTGTAAGAAAAAAAAAAAGAAATCACATTAATTGTACAAGATTTACGGCGCGAGAGTAATTTCGGCGAGCGGGTGATAAAATGGTGGGTATTTTAGAGAGATGGTCGTCTTTTTGCTGGTTTCCCGTTGGCACCTTTATCAACAGCCTCTACTTTGCTCTCCGCGTGCCGCAAGCAGCACGAGAGACAAAAGTAAGAGGGAAACTAGTAGTTTAAATTCCGTCAGGAAGTGGAAGTTGTTCGTTCATTCAATTGCTTATTCTTGAAAAATACATCCTCTGCTACGCCTTTTCTGTCACGGCGATTTGAAAATATGTTGATGCTGCAGCGGCCCTTTAAAAAACTAGGGTTCGCTCATTTCGATGTGCCTGCTGTTCACAGACACGCAAAGCCGAAGTCAAGCACCGTACACCAGGGGGGCTATGTTGCGCTTTTTGCACTCCCAGGAGACTAGGGAGAGGGAAGTGACGTCAACAACGCAGCAAATGCAGATTGGATGTTGATTTTGTTTTCTTCTGTCAACATCCAATCTGCATTTGCTCTAGTCGTTGACGTCACTTCCCTCTTCCAAGTCTCCTGGGAGTGCAAAAAGCGCAACATAGCACCCCAGGAAAGCCATTTCGCGCATCCCATCGTCGATCTCGAGAAACGCGCCCTCAATTTTTGCTTTGAGCTCTTCCATGGTGAAGATCCTCTTCTAGTATACAAGTCCTCTTATAAATCCCCATACGAAAAAGCCGCACATATTTAAGTCGGGGGATCGTGGAGGCCAGTCCATATACTCTGATCCCCGCCCCATCCACCGCCGAGGGAACGTGTTATTGAGACATGCCTTCACACTCTTTCCGTGTTGGGGAGCCGTGCTATCCTGCATGAATATACAGTCGTTTTTTTGTTGTTTGTTTCCCATGTAATACGTTC